AGAGAGCACTGGCTGCCTCAGAGCAGAAGATGGGGTAAATAAAAGTACTTTTTGTAGCCCCCTAGACCTTAGCAAGCATTCAACCCTTGCAGTGCTGGGGGCAGCCCCACTTCCAGTCTTAAGATGGCTGAAGATCCCCACCTGGAAGAAGATAATGCTCTGCATGAAAAGTGGACCATACACAGTCTTTCATGTATTAGCGCTTAAATGCTTTCATAGGTTATGTCACAATTTCCTAATGTATCATGAAATTCAGAATATAACACAGTAATATATCATATCATAACATTATTTGGAGCATGTCACTCAATTATCATTAAATTATGTTTTTTAATGTTTTAATAGTAACAGTATTCATTGATATTACGTTTACGGCTTTGGATTTTTTTAAATCCATTTTATCACACTCTCTTTTATGGTTTTTGTAAATTTTTTATGTTCATTCAATGGATCCCCTGATCATGATATTTGTTTATAGATTCTAACTAAATACTATATAATTGATTATGTACCAAAAGTTTTTGTAATGCCGCATACACACTATAAGAAAATCGGATGAATGGTCGCCCGATTTTCCTCAATTGTTCGCAGCTTGTCGAAAGCGATGTGCTTTTGCTGCATGAAAAATATCGTACGAAAAAAGCATTGCGTACGAACGTGGTAGCATAGCTGTGGAAGTGATGTAATGTACGTGTGACCCTGAAGCCAAACCTTTCAGTGCCATAATTGTTATCTCCTCATCGACTGATCTTTCCTGATGAATTGTCGGGATAGTTATGGATACCATTTCCGGATGTTATCAAAATGCAGCAATTGAATAACAACTGGAATCACAACTTGCATCTCCAATGCCCACCTCTACCAGCACCACTGCCTCCATCATCACTGCAGCACACATCACAATGGCATTATCCTGCACCTGATCGTCAAACCTCGTCATGGTGCCAAGATTATTATTACACATATCTTTAGTTGAATGATACAGTCCAGGCCTGGGACTAAAATAGGCCCGGGCATTTTGGACTGAGCAGCCCAAAGCCCCTTGACCCTTTCCTTGGAGGCTGGTGGCGGAACGCCAGGGCCCGGTTGCGAAAGTGACCTTTGCAACCCTGGTAGTTCCGACACTAGTGTCAGTAGGTTTTTATTTTTATTTAATGTTTTACAATTTTACATTTTATTATTTTTCCTACTTTTTTTGTAGGAGAGAAAGAAAAAAGAAAGGAAGGAGAGAAAGAAAGAAAGAAAGAAAGAAATAGAGGAAGGAGGGAAACAGGAGACAGAGAGAGAAAGAAAGACAGACGTAAAGAAGGAGGGAAAGAAAGAGGGATAGAAAGAAGGAGGGAAACAGGAGACAAAGAGATAATTTTTTTGTAGAAGAGAAAGAAGAAAGAAAAGAAAGGAAAGAAAGAAAGAAAAAGAAAGGAAGGAGGGAAACAGGAGACAAAGAGAATTTTTTTGTAGGAGAGAAAGAAAAAAAGAAAGAAAGAGAAAAGAGAGAAAAAAAGAAGAAGGGGAGAGAGAAGAAACAAGGTTGGTGGGGAGTGTGGGCGGGGCAGACACAGGAGGAGAGGCCAGGAGGAGGAGGGGCAGAACCAGCTGTCTCTCCTCTCCCATGTGTGTGTGTGGGAGGGGCTGTCAGCACTGGGGACAGAATATGCTGACAGATCCCCCACAACGCTGCAGTAGGTGAGGGGGGGGCTGGCGGTGGGGGGAACATACACAGGAGCCCATGCAGGAGATGGATAGGAGGGGCGACTGGGCGGAACATAAAGGAACCAAGATATGCACGGTTCTTTATGTGCCACCTGACCACCTCCCCTATCCAGGCAGCCCCAGTACGCCGGGCAAATGCCCGGTGCGCCCTATGGCCAGTCTGGGCCTGGTACAGTCTTTTTGCTGCAAATTCTTAGTTTTCTGGATGTTTAATTGTTGACCTGATATAAAGCACTTTGTTGTGGATTTTCATCTAGTTTGATGGTTATTTTTTACCATAGTACTGTATATAGTTAACAATAAAAGTTTGTTTTGAAAATATACAATTTTTATTTGTGTTTTTTTTTATAACAACATGCAAACACACACATTCATTGTGATACAGTGGCATATGAATATTTTTTTTTTTTTTGTGGAGAAGGGGGGTTTGAACTGTTTACATACATTAATTGCTATTATGCTTCCGATCATTCCCTGGTGTTTATTTTCTTCAGGTTCTTCCGGGTCATAAGCAGCTTCCGATTATGCATGGTCTTTCATATCCAATTTTTCTTTTACGAAGAAAGTACACATTAAACGAAAAACCGTTCGTTCTGCTCCCGTACTACATAAATGTAGCATTTTGTCCCTTCTGTAATTTTCGTTCGGAAGGTCTTAATCGGCTGTCGAAAATTATGTACACACCATCAGAAAATTGCATGATTGTTCATCGTGAGAATATGATCGTTTGATCTTCTTATAGTCTGTACGGGGCATAAGAATTAGACATTAGGCACGGTGAGCTTGTTTTTGCTTCTTTTGCCTTTGTATATAAATTGATTGCATCCTATGAATTTAATAGGAAAATGGAAATTGTTTTAACACTGTGGATTTTTAGAAATATTTTTCTTTGTATTTAATTTCTAGCCCTGATGAAGGGGATTGTTTTGAGCTCCTGAGTGTATTGAGCTGGCTGTTTTATGTGATCCTGTGATGCATCATTAAAGCAGAACTACATTGTATCTGAGCACCACAAACCAAAAACACTATTTAATTCATTTTTGTTATTCAAAACAAACTCCACCATCATCCATGTGTCCATGCTTTATTTGTCTGAGAAATCACGTTGAAAAACATCATCTTGAGTAAGGACAGATGATTAATGTAGCATTTGCATCCTGGAACCTATCTGCCTTTAGCTCAGGCATGCAAACTGACTCCATGGTAGTGAACAAAACACTGCCAGTTGCAAATACAGTACATGCCAGCTTATGCTTTCCAGAGGCTCCCAAGTTCTGTAGAAAGTCACCTGATTTCAAATCTCCAACCACAATGGGGGAAGCATAAAGCCATTCTAATGGGGAGAGGACAATGCTCTTTTGCTAAATTGATGTTTACTATGCATGTTGTGTAGACTTGGGATGTAAAGATTTCAAGAGGAGGAGTGTGTAGGGCAGCAATGGGCAAACTACGGCCCGGCGGACCTTTTAATCCGGCCCGCGGAGCTAGGCTCCCGCTAGGCTCCTCTCACAGTCCGCCCTGAAGACCGGTGTAGCATGAAAATCTGTCTCCTATGAGGATCTGTCCCCCTCGACGTATCTGCGCATGTGCCGGAGATCGCCGATCGGCTGCTAATGCCTGAAACTGGCACATGCGCAGATACGTCGAGGGGGACAGATCCTCATAGGAGACAGATTTTCATGCTACACCGGAACGGCGCGGGAACACGGCGAGAGGAACGCGCGGAGCAAAGGTAAGTGAATTGACACAGGGGGGACTTGGGGACTTAATATGGGGGATGAATTAATATGGGGGATGAATTACTATGGGGGATGATTACTATAGGGGGGATGAATTAATATGGGGAATGAATTACTATAGGGGGGGATGAATTACTATGGGGGATGAATTACTATATGGGGGATGAATTACTATATGGGGGATGAATTACTATAGGGGGGATGAATTACTATGGGGGATGAATTACTATATGGGGGATGAATTAATATGGGGAATGAATTACTATATGGGGGATGAATTACTATGGGGGATGAATTACTATATGGGGGATGAATTACTATATGGGGGATGAATTACTATATGGGGGATGAATTACTATGGGGAATGAATTACTATATGGGGGATGAATTACTATGGGGGATGAATTACTATATGGGGGATGAATTACTATGGGGGATGAATTACTATGCTTACTATGGGGGAATATTACTATACTTACTATGGATGACACATGCACATCATTCATCTACTCTTGGTCCGGCCCCCAGGTCCAATATATGAACCCATTGCGGCCCTCAAGTCAAAACGTTTGCCCACCCCTGGTGTAGGGATCTGCAGTTTTTTACTGTCTGTACTGTACTTACAAGTGGCTTTGTTTGTTCACTACCACAGAGTTAGTTTGTTATAGACAGGTACTACCTGTCCCTGCTAGCTGGGTGAGAAACCCCCAATTGAAGTACCCTGATGTTTTATAAAGGGCTGTTTCCAGGAAGTACAGACAGAACGTAGACACATGACCTTATACACATAGAAGCTGCCACAGCTGTATTTCACCCAGACCAAAAGCAGTGACTATTAGACAAGTATTCCAATGTTCTAATAGTGTAACTGCAGATGCCCATAGCTTCTTGGGTGCGTGTGTGAATCGTCATGACAGATGTATCTCTGTCTTATTGTTTTTATACTAACTGCACAGTGCCAGATAGCTATGTCTGTGCTGCTGTATGTATGTAGTGGTCACCTTCCAGTATATTAATAGATGAGTCTGTTTATTGCAACTGAGTCTATGTGCAGCTCCTCTTATTCGAATTATTCCTGTCCCTTCTGGTGTGTGATTCAATAGCTAGTTTTAGCTCAGGGTTTAATGATCAGCATAGAATAGAGCCAGGTTAGGCATCTGATGACCACCTCTGGTAGTTAGAGGTCCAGTTGCATTACAGATTAGAAGCTATTAGGGACTGAGATGCAAAGTAGATAGGCTGACTCTGAGTTCTACTGCCACACCACAATTTCTGCATGTGAGAAACTGTGTTCTAGACTGGTTGGACAACAGTTGGAGGATCTTCCCATGACCACTGATCATGTCTTCAGGTCTATGACACCAAAAAAACTGATGCCGCATCGTGATCATTCTCAGGGGCCCTTGGATCTGGATTTTGCTGCAATATTCATCTGGAGGCATCTCTACTAATAACTGTATAGAGTATATTGCCAAAAGTATCCCTTCAAATCATTGGATTTGGGTGTTCCAATCCCCTCCATGGACACAGGTGTATACAATCAAGCACCTAGGCATGCAGACTGTTTCTACAAACATTGGTGAAAGAATGGGTCGCTCTCAGGAGCTCAGTGACTCCAAGCGTGGTCCCGTGATAGGTGGCCACCTGTGCAATAAGTCCATCCGTGACATTTCCTGGCTACTAAATATTCCACGCTCAACTGTTAGTGGGATTATACCAAAGTGGAAGCAACTGGGAAAAAACAGCAACTCAGCCACTAAGTGGTAGGCCACGTAACGTGACAGAGCGGGGGTCAGCGCATGCTGAAGCACACAGTGCGCAGAAGTAGCCAACTGTCTGCAGAGTCAATAGCTAAAGACCTCCAAACTTGGTGTGGCCTTCAGAATAGCACAACAACAGTGTGTAGAGAGCTTCATGGAATGGGTTCCATGGCCGAGCAGCTTCATCCAAGCCTTATATCACCAAGTGCAATGCAAAGCGTTGGATGTCGTGGTGTAAAGCACGCCACCACTGGACTCTAGAGCAGGGGAGACGTGTTCTCTGATGTGACCAATCACGCTTCTCTGTCTGGCAGTCCAATGGATATGTCGGGGTTTGGCGGTTTCTAGGAGAACGGTACTTGCCTGACTGCATTGCGCCAAGTGTAAAGTTTAGCAAAACAAACTAAAAAAGACTAGCTACGGACTCAACCAGGATTAGTGGATTTTTATGTTGTAAATGCATATATTAAATCATAAGGCTGGTGGTCAAAGCACAGGAACGACACCTTTATTCAAACAAAAATATATTTTAAAACAACAACAATACACCACACTCCACAGGTCTCACATTGTGCCCCCCCAAGGGGTACAATAAATGCCAGTGGAATAAACACATATAGAGGCATCAAATTTTCCTATAAGGACCATAAATGCTCAGCATATAAAATGCCTCAGAGGTAGCATACCTCTGAGCCCTTCCACCCTTCCAGAAGCTTGTAGAACTTTCTGGAAGAAGGACAGACAGAGGAGGGGAGGAAGCTCAGACCTGCATACTTGAGGAACCTTGGCCAATCCCCTGGCATGAGACTGGGCATGGTGACAAAGGCAACCCTTAAGTATGACAGAGCCTGGGGAGCAGGAACAGTGTGTGTCCGGTGGAAGGTGGAGTGAGGAGCTGGAGTGTGGAGCCTGAGAGGGGGCCCTGTCTGCAGCCTCTAACCATCTCCTGCATCATGTCCGCAGCCGCTAACCATCTGTTGTATCCTGTCTGCAGCCTCTAACCATCTCCTGTATCCAGTCTGCAGCCCCTAACCATCTCCTGTATTATGTCCGCAGCCCCTAACCATCTCCTGTATCCTGTCCGCAGCCTCTAACCATCTATTGTATCCTGTCTGCAGCCTCTAACCATCTCCTGTATCCAGTCTGCAGCCTCTAACCATCTCCTGTATCATGTCTGCAGCCTCTAACTATCTCCTGTATCCTGTCCGCAGCCTTTAAACATCTTTTATATCCTTTCCGCAGCATTTAACCACCTCTTGTATCATATCTGCAATCTCTGACTATCTCCTATTATAATGTTTTCAGCCTCTAACAATCTCCTATATCATGTCTGCAGTCTCTGACCATCTCCTGTATCATGTCTGCAGCCTCTAACCATCTCCTGTACCATGTCTGCAGCCTCTAACCATCTCCTGTACCATGTCTGCAGCTTCTAACCATCTCCTGTATCGTGTCCGCAGCCCCTAACCATCTCCTGTATCATGTCTGCAGCCCCTAACCATCTCCTTTATCATGTCCGCAGCCTCTAACCATCTCCTGTACCATGTCTGCAGCCTCTAACCATCTCTTGTACCATGTCTGCAGCCTCTAGTCATTTCCTGTATCATGTCTGAAGCCTTTAAGCATCTCTTATATCCTGTCTACAGCCTTTAACCATCTCTTGTATCATATCTGTAATCTCTGACTATCTCCTTGTATGATGCCCGCAGCCTCTAATCATCTCTTGCATCATATTCACAACCTCTGACCATCTTTTGTCTTGTATCATGTTTTCAGTGTCTGAGGGGAGCCTGGAGAGGAGTCAAAAGTAGGGGAGCCACCGGCATGGGGGTCACAGGAGGAGACAGACGTGTGTAGCTTGTGAAGAGGAAAATATAGGATGGAACCAGAGCCGCCAAGCTGGAGCCCAGAGAGGACCGTCCGACTGAGCCCTGCATGGTGCACTTGAGAGGAGGTCAGTGACAGTGCCGCAAGGGCAGTCGAAGGGGGGGTGGGTGTCACTGATATAAGGGGGGAGCAAATACAGTAATATAAGGGGGCACTGATATAATGGTCCCCCCTTATATCAGTAACCCCCCCTTACCATTAGTGTATTCACTCTGCAGAAGGTGGTCTGTGGTCACCAGAGCTCCCCTCATATCCAAGTTACCGGCATTCATCAGAGTCTGCAGGATTCCCCCTTACATTGCAAGGGAGAACTCTGCAGACCCTGATGTAAAGGGGAACTCTGATGTAAAGGGCAATGCTGCAGACCCTGATGTAAGTGGGAACTCTGATGGGAACAGGGAAGAGGAACGCAATGGACTCTGATATAAGGTGGTCTCTGGTCACCAAAGACCCCCCCCTTACATCAGAGTTTCCCTTTACACCAAAGTCTGCAGTATTCCCCCTTACATCACGATCTGCAGTGTTCCCCTTTACAGCAGAGTTCCCTCTGCACTGTAAAGGAGAATCCTGCAGACTCTGGTGTAAAGGGGAACTCTGTGCCGGGTTATGTTAACTTGACCTTTATGTAAAAGGAGAAATATGGTTTTTTAACATTTGTTATAATGACCATTTTATATACTGTACTTTTTTTAAGCGTCAGTAAAAAATGTGGCTCTGTCAGTAAGTTTCATGATTTTTGTCAGTACAAAAAAATATGGTGTTTGTAAATTTTGAGTGCCCTGTCAGTAAATTTCACTTCGAGGGATGGCAACACTAAGACTAAGGCTAGCTATACTTGTGAAAATTTCTCTTGTGAACTCACTCAATTCCACTATATACACTACATAGTATGGATGGGGGACTCTCCTCTGGTGGCTGTTGGGAGTAGGTAGAGCTGTTGAGGGTGGTACACGAGAAGACCCAAAGAGCGGCAAATCCTTGGGAGCAGCTGATGGGTAGGAATCTTAACGCCCTCCTGCCCTGTTGTTGTTTGGGCCTTTGGCGTTGGGGGGTCTTTGGAGGCGTTATCATTTTCAGAACAGTTCATAGCAGTGACCCATCTAAGGTATGGTGTCCTCTGTTGGATCCCAGTTAATGGGGTATTATCTGGGAAGTGGTAACGAGTTGGTATCTGAAGAAAAGTGGGTTTGACCCCGAGACGGTGTTTTGTGGCTGGGGATCGTGAAGTAGTAACACAGATACACAATCTAGTGTTGGTTCCCAAGTGCCTCCCAAGACCGGCAACATGTATGTTATGGCAATTGGTTTATGTACATGTTTTCTGTTTTACCCACTTGCCCTCCTGAGGATTTCTCCCCCTTTCCTGACCAGGCCAGTTTTTGTGTTACTGCGCTGCATTACTTTAACTGACAATTGCGCGGTCATGCAACGCTGCACCCAAAATAAATTTACGTCCTTTTTTTCCCACGAATTGAGCTTTCTTTCGGTGGTATTTGATCACCTGTGCGTTTTTTTATTTTTTGCGCTATAAAAAAAAAGAAGGCTGACAATTTTGAAAAAAACAATATTTTTGACTTTTTACTATTAAACATGTCCAGTAAAAAAAAATTGAAAAATCAAATTTCATCATACATTTACACCAAAATGTGTTCTGCTCCATGTCTTTGCTAAAAAAAAATCCCAATACATGTAAATTAATTGATTTACGGGAAAGTTATAGCATTTACAAATGGAGCTATAGATGCTGGAATTTTTTTTTTTTTTTACGGCGATCAGCGACTTATAGCAGGACTGCGGGACAGCGGCGGACTTTCTGATACTGGGGGGGAACTGACTTGGTGTCACTGACATCCCCAGTGACACCAGTACAGTGATCAATGCTAAAAAAAAAGCACTGACACTGTATTAGTGGCACTGGGCAGGAAGGGGTTAACATGAGGGGGCGATCAAAGGGTTAACTGTGTATAGGGAGTGTTTTACCAGGGGGCGGGGTGTGCTTCACTGTATTCACACTGTTGTGGATGGTTGTGCTGTGCACAGCCACCCACAACAGTGTGCCCGAGCTGACAGAGAGGAGGACTGTTAGTAACAGTCCTCCTCCCCGTCAGTGATCATCAGAAATCACCAGGAGCTGGTGAGTAATTATCGGCTAGGGCCCAGTGATTGACAGCTGCGGCCGCGAATGGCAGTGTGAGTAGAGTGGGTGCCTGGCTCATGCTTGCCCCCAACTGGAACTGTAGATTGCCGGCGAGTAATCACCGGCCAGGAAACAGCGATTAACAGCCGAGGCCGTAAATGGCTGTGCGGGTAGGGAGCATGCTCCCCCTACCTAGAACTGCAAAATCATGTGTATATATATATGTGATTTTGCGCACCGGTGCCGCCCTGTAGCAGTATTTCTGCTATAGGGCAGATGGGAAGTGGTTAAGGAATGCTATTTTGGTTTATTTGTTAATAAACGGCCAGGTTGGCTAATTTTCTCCAGATCGGGTCTTTGGTAATTTCTTAATTAGCATAAGTTGGGAAGGGTAGCTATGGTGAGATGTAGAAGGACTTGGAGACATATGGGTTACTCTAGTCAAGTACATTTTCTGCTTACAATGACTTTCTGGATGCACAGCAAAAAGAAAAAAAAAAAGGAGTCCCTGTAAATTGTTTTTGAAATGTTGGGAATGTCCCAATCTGGCTTGTAACCTTTAAACCATAGCTAAACAGAAGAAGAAGAATTATTTTTCTAAAAGTGAAACTAAGTGAAAGACATACATGTGTTGGCATACGGGGGTAAAGGTCCCTCATTCCACCCAGAGTCGGGACGATGGAGAGGACTAATCGGGGAATATTGATTCTTTTCTCTCTATGCCAAACATGTAAGTTTTAACCTTTTATCATTTGTGATGGAAATGAGCCGATCATTTCGCTGTAAGGATGATATATAATAGAAAAGATCTATGATGAGATGTTCAGGAACACAGAAGTCATACAATCTTGATAGAACTGTGGGCATTGCTCTCTCCTAGTGTTGTAATCCGAATATAGAGAAGAACTTTAATTACTGGCATACGTAAACTTAATGTGAGCATAAATGACGCCATACCAGGGGGCAAGAACATAAGGTTCTGATTGTCCGAGTCTCTCATTGTCACATCCAAAGATTTTCCAACTTCCCTGAAAAGCTCTGTACTCACCCTGCCACCTTAAATCCCATCTCCAGGAATCAGACAAAATCTATCCATGCAGTGGGGCCCCATTGTACTGCAAGGGTTACCACTCGCTCAGTCTAAAGGGGCAGGAATAAGGAGCAATCTTTACCTTTTATATGTGAAAAAAGGTAATGTGTTAAATGGATGCTAATATATCTATAAATAATAACTCAATTATAAGTCAACAAGTCCATGTAACATAAACAGTGAATACATTGAATTGAAAAGTCCATATACAAAGCGTGAAATTCTTCTCCACTTGCACCATAGGAATAGTAAACTTCCGGTATCCATGGAGAG